TCCTCCCTCCCACTCTATCTGATGATAAATAAAAATATATTTTTGGGTGAGACTTAAAAAATAAAAATAAAATAAATAAGCCAACCAGAGAAAGACAAGCATCACATGATCTCACTTATTTGTGGAATATAATAAACAGTGTATTCTTTTTTAGGATCTCTTACCCTTTGAGACAGCATGGAGTGACCTAGAGAGTATTATGCTTAGTTAAATAAGCCAGTCAGAGAAAGATAAGAATCACATATTTCATTTATATGTGGAATCTAATGAACAAAATAAACTGACAAACAAAATAGATCCAGAGACATGGAAGCATGGAACAGACTGATGAATGGCAGGGGGGAGGGGAGGAAAGAGATTAACCAAAGAACTAACGTGCATGTGTGAATAATCCATCAGTGTGATGAAGGCCTAGGGTACAGGAGGTTGGTGGAGGGATTCAATGGGGGAAAAACGAAGGACATTTGTAATACTTTCAATAATAAAGATATATTTTTAAAAAATGAAATACAGAATTTTATTTAGAAACTATTTAAATAAAAAAAAACTCACGCTGGCCAGTGTGGTTCAGTGGCTAGAGTGTTGGCCCGTGCATCAAAAGGTCATGGGTTTGATTTCCCGTCAAGGGCATGAAACTGGGTTGCAGATTTGATCCCGCCCCCGTTGGGGTGCTGGCGGAGGCAACCAATCAATGTGTCTCTCTCACATCGATGTTTCTCTCTCTCTCTCCCTCTCCCCCCTTCCCTCCCTCCTTCTAAAAATCAATGGAGCCCAGCTGGTGTGGCTCAGTGGTTGAGCATCAACCCATAGACCAGGAGGTCACTGTTTCTATTCTCAGTCAGGGCACATGCCCGGGGTTGCAGGCTCAATCCCTAGTGGGGGGCATGCAGAAGGCGGCCAATCAATGTTCTCTCTCATTGATGTTTCACTCTCTCTCCCTCTTCCTTCCTCTTTCTCTCTAATATCAATAAAGAAAACTAAATATCCCTGACCAGTTTGGCTTAGCGGTTAGATCATCGGCACCCAGACCAGAGAGTCCCGGGTTCGGTTCCCGCTAAGGGCAAGTACCTCTGTTGCAGTTTGTCCCCGGCCTGGTTGGGGTTGTGTGGGTGGCAACCACCCAATGTGTCTCTCTCACATTGATGTTTCTCTCTCTCTCTTCCTCCCACTCTATCTGAAGATAAATGCAAAAATGTCCTTGGGTGAGGAAAAAAAATAAACAAAAATAAAACACCATCCCCAGCAATCAGTGTTACCGGCATCCACACAGTGAGCCCATGGTCAGCGTCTTTGTTCCCTAGGTGAACCAACTTGATGTTAATACTGCTCTGCTGCAAGATAAAAGCTCCTAACTTAAACTTATTGGAAAAAGGGTGACACTTCTCCAAAGTATGCTTTAGGAAGAGGTATTTTTTTTTTGCTTATGAAAAGAGACCAGTGAGTCCTCTAAGGATAAGAAAAGGGAGTATTTTACAGTTAGACATATGATTTGGAGTGAAGAATTCGGAAGTTGCTCTGCTGGTACAAGCTATTAATACTCTTGTTCCTCCTGTGGGTCCCCTTCATCAGGTATCGCAGAGCCTTCATCTGTGGCATAGAAAATGTCCACAACCCTCTGCAATACAGGATTGTTTTCCCCCTCATTCTCTTGGCAAATCAATTCAATTCAATGTTCCTTAGCTTTTCAAAATGGAAATCTCTTTCTTTCTCCAAGTCTTCAATGGAAGTATCAAGACGTCGACCTGCTGCATCAGTTTGGCTATTGAGTCATCCTTGTTGCCCACACCAGGATTCTTTCACACCACACCCGAGCCAGCCTTAGGGGTTGCTGTAGTTGTGTGCGTCGTGATGGGCCTCTGTGGAGCTGCACTGCTAGAGCTGAGCGGTTTCTTCGATTTGTTCAGGGCTGAAGCAACAAGGGAGGGAACTGCTGCAATTTCTTGACCTTGTCTGGCAGCTACAGGGTCATAGTCTTTTCCATCATAATGTGCATCAAAAAACTTCTTGAACCTCTGAATGAATTCAAAATTGTCCTGAAACTTTCCTTTTACTAATTTGTCCACAGGAATTATTTTGTCAGCACCCATTCTCTTAAAACCTGCTTGTAGTATTTTGAAGTTCTGGATGTATTTATGTTCTAGCATAGGTTGGAATTTTACTTTCTTCAAGGCAATGGAGCCAGGGAACATCATGCCCATAAATTCACAATAGGCAGCCCCTGAGCACAACTGTTTGATCTTTGTTAGATTCAACTATAGTGACTCATTGATCCAGGACAGCATGTCCTGCCACTTACGTTATCCTTGGTGACTGACGTTGAATATATGTTCACTGCCATCTTGGTCTCTTGGGGGAACCACGTCCACTGCTGTGCCCCTAATAGTGTACAGTATTATTAAACAACCAAAGACTCAAAGAAAGTCTTAAGGAAAATTAGAAAATAAAATTGAGATAAATGAAAACAAGAACATAAACAAAAACATGGGATGCAGTGAAGGCATTGCTCAGAGAAAAAGTTGTATATGTAAATGTCTATTATAAAAGAAAACCTCAAATCAATACCTTAACTTTATAACTTATGTAACTTCAAAAGAAGAAACTATAGGTATAGAATAAACTAGATATAAAAGATATATAGATGAAGAAATTATACCCAAAGAAGGCAGAAGGAAGGAAATACTAAAAATTAGAGTGGAAATACACAAATTAGAGAATAGAAAAACAATTGAGAAAAATCAGCAAAACCAAAAGTTTTTTTTTTTTTTTGAAGATCAACAAAATTGACAAATGTTCAACTAGACTAAGAAAAAAAAGAGAAAACTCAATGGCTGAGATCAGGAATGAAAGTGAGGAAGGATATTACTACTGACATCACAGGAAAAACAAGTATTATAATGGAATTCTATGAATAATTGTGTTCCAAATATTTAGATAACCTAAATGAAATGGACAAATTCCTAAAAACACACACACTGCCAAAGCAGTCAGTCTCTATAAGAAATAGAAAATCTGAACACACCTATAAAAAGTAAAAAGAGTGCATCAGTAATCAAAAGCCTTCCAACAAAAAAAACCCCAAATACTTAACCTGGCAGGGGAGATACCATGATCACGAAGGTGTTTTTCTCAGGGTGAGGCTTATCCATTGCACCCCTGAGGTGGGAAACTCGACTGCATAATTTGTGGTAGTGGGGGGCTGTGTCCATGCTCTTCCCCCCTCCAAAAAAGCCAAAGACAATAGGGCTTCACTGCTGAATTCTAGCAAACATTTAATGAAGAATTGTCACCAATCCCTCTCAAACTTTCCCAAAAAATAGAAGAGGAGGAAACACTTTTAATGCTGGTCTTTAAAACCAGCATTACCCTGTTAACGCAGTCAGACATCACAAAGAAAGAAAACTACAGGTTAGTACTCTTTATAAATCTTTATAAATATAGATACAAACATTCTTTTTTTTTTTTTTTCCCAGTACGTGCCTCTAGCAGGAACCGAACCCGGGACTCTCTGGTCTGCAGGCCGACGCTCCAACTGCTAAGTCAAACCAGCCAGGGATAGATACAAACATTCTTAACAAAATATTAGCAAGCCAAATGCACCAGCATATATCATAAACAAGTGAGATTTACCGCAGGAATACAAGAGTAACACAAAAATAAATCAATGTAATACTCTGCATTAATAGAATGAAGGAAAAAAATACATGATCATCTCAATTGATGCAGAAAAAGCATTTGACAAAATTCAGCACCCTTTTATGAATAAAAAAAACCCTCAGAAAACTAGGAATAGAAGGGAACTTCCTCAATCTGATAAAGGGCATTTATGAAAAACACTATGGCCCTGGCTGGGTGATTCAGTTGGTTGGAGTGTTATCCTGTATACGAAAAGGTTTTGGTTTTGATTCCCAATCAAAGCATATACCTAGGTTTTGGGTTCAAGCCCCAGTTGGGGTACTTGTAGGAGGCAACCTATCAATATTTCTCTCTCTCTCTCTCTCTCTCTCTCTCTCTCACTTTCTCCCCCCTCTCTAAAATCAATGTATGTTCTTGGGTGAGGATTTAATTTTTTTAAAATATATTTTTTCCCTTATTGATTTTTAGAGAGAGAGGAAGTGAGAAGGAGAGAGAGATAGAAACAGCGATGAGAGAGAACATCGATTGGCCGCCTCCTGAATGCCCCCCACTGGGGATCAGGCCCACAACCTGGGCATGTGTCCTGACCAGGAATCCAACTGGCAACCTCTTGGTGTATGGCAAAAAAAGGCAAATACCAGTTACTTCATCTACTCATCATGTCCTTTGTATACTCAAAAGTTTCACATGGTAACCTGAGAGATTTCAGAAATGAAAAATGTGAAAATAACAATATTCACAGCCTGCCATAAAGGATTCCTTTCAAACAACATCCAGCAGTGCCTTTTACCCTTTTGATTAGTCATTATTTCCTGCTTGCGGAGGAATTATCTGTATATATTATTTGTGAGTAAAATCTATAGGCATTCTGTATCAGACATGCACACGACTTCTGTTAGACATGGTAAAGAACTAAGTAATGAGAAGTACACAGCTAGGTTTCATAACTTTATTTCTAGGAGTGATGAAGCCTCAAAGAACAATGCAAGTAATGCATTTCAAAATCTCATGGAGGTAATTCAAAACGTAGCATCTCTCTTATCTTTCTGATAATAGCAATTCTAACAGGCATGAGGTAATATATCATTGTGCTTTTGATTTGAATTTTTTTATGATTAGTGGTGTTGAGCCATCTTTTCATATGCTTGTTAGCCATTTGCTTATTATCTTTGGAGAATTGTCTATTCAAGTCCTATGCCCATTTTTTAATAAAATAATTTGTTTTTTTATTGAGTTGTAGAAGTTCATTACATATTCTAGATATAAACCCTTATCAGAAAAATGATTTGCACATACTTTTGCAAATATAAAAGATTGCCTTTTCACTCTGTTGATAGTTTTTTATTTTTAAATTTTATTTTATGTACAAAGAGATAGCATTCTGTGGTAAGATAGATGTCTTGAATGGCCCATTCATGGAAGTTCACTTAGTCCAACTTAATAAAGCCGATGTCCTTCGCGTACTGACGGAAACACTGGCGGCACCTATTGAGGCCGTATTTCCAGATCCGACCGTGGGGGTTTGAGCAGAAGCGGCAAGAACGGGAATCCTGGCCGAATTTTCTCGGATGGCTCCAGTAGAGTGACCTGCTGGTGACCCGTCTTGTTCTGTCTGAAGCAACGAGGCAAAAAGGTGTTGATAGTTTTTTTGATGTGCGCAAGTTTTAAAGTTTGATATAGTCCCATTTGCCTATTTTACTTTCATTGCCCCTGCTTTTGGTGTCACATCCAAGAAATCATTGCCAAATCCAACGTCCTGAAGCTTTTCCTTTGTTTTCTTCTAGGAATTTTATAGTTGTTTTTTTTTTAAATCCTCACCCGAGGAAATTTTTCCATTTATTTTTAGGTAGAGTGGGAGGGAGGGAGGGAGAGAGAGAGAAAGAAAATTCTATGTGAGAGAAACACAATAATTGGTTGCCTCTCACATGGCCCTGACGGGGCCAAGGATCGAACCTGCAACCGAGGTATATGCCCTTGACCAGGAACCTTTACCAGGAATTGAACTCTCAACTTTTGTGTCTTCGGGCCAACACTCTAACTGCTGAGCCAAACTAGCCAGGGCTAGGTCTAGGTTTTTAATCAAAAATTTTTTTTTTTTGCATTTATCTTCAGATAGAGCTGGAGGGAGAGAGGGAAGAGAGAGAGAGAGAAACATCGATGTGAGAGAGACACATCGAGTGGTAGCCAACCACACGACCCCGACCGGGGGCTGGGGACAAAGCACAACCGAGGTGCATGCCCCCAGCGGGAACCGAACCCGGACTCTCTGGTCCGCAGGCTGACGCTCTAACCGCTGAGCCAAACTGGCCAGGGCTTTAATCAATTTTCAGATAATTTTTATATATGGTGTAAGTTAATAATTTTTTAATATGGTTTATATATGGTGTAAGGGTCCAAATTCACTCTTTTGCCTGTGGATATCCAGTTTTCTCAACACAATTTGTCGTGTAGTCTTTGGCACCCTTGTTGAAAATCATTTGGCCATGTCAATTGAAGGTCATTGACACCAATTCAATGCCAATTTGGGGTGCAGTGAAGGCAGAAATTTTATTCAGTGAAAACAGCTCAATTGTGAAAAAGCTCTGCTCTGGAACAGCATTGTGTGAAACAGTACAGCCAAAATGGTTTGGTCTTGGGCAAGGGGGCTCAGGGGTGAAGTCCCTCCAGTGATGCAGCTCCAGCCTTGCAGTTCTGGTGTCACTGCTTCAGCCAATGTTGTAGCTGCAGCTGAGGAAGCACACTCTTCTATGGAAACAGAAGATAGAAGTGCAGCTGGTTTATATAAAGAAGAATCCTCCCCCCACCCCGCCTCCCCAGTCCTTGATTGGTCCATTCTCATGCAAATAAGGACTTCAAATCCTCAAGGTCTGATTAAGTCAAAAAACACTGTCCAGATTTATTGGAGTGGAGCCGCTCTGATTGGTTGGTAAAAATGTAAATCTTGTACATGGGAAAATTATATAGTGGTATTAACTAATGTTACCCCTATAAATTTAATTTTAAAGAAGTGGAAAAAAAAAACACCCAGGAAAAAACCAGCAAAAATTATGTTGGCTATTCAGTATCCCTTGAACTTCCATGTGAATTTTGGAATTTTCTATTAATGCAAAGAATGCCATTGGGATTTCAATTAATCTGAAGGTCACTTTGGATAGTATGGACATTTTAACAACATTTAATCTTTTATTCCACGAGGATGGGATGTCTTTCTATTTATTTGCATTTGCTTTGATTTCTCTTAGCAGTGTTTTGTAAATTTCAGTGTACAAGTCTTTCACCTTTTTGGTTAAGTTTATTCCCAAGTATTTTACCCTTTTTGATGCTACAGTAAATGAGATTGTCTTATTTTTTTTAAGTTTTTATTTTGTATCATCTACAAAGTAAAAGTTTTTCCTTAACTTAAAAATTCACTGTATGCGGTCCAGATAAAAATTCAAACACTGTAGACAGTGATCATGTAATCACACTTGATTTATAAATAATCTGTCAGTTTGATGGTAAGAATTTACTGAACCTTTGTCAAGTTTAACAAAAGGGCTTGTTTTCTTTAAAAAAAATTTTTTTATTGCTTTTAGAGAGCGAGGAAGGGAGGGGGAGAGAGAAAAAGAAACATCGATGAGAGAGAACATGGATTGGCTGCCTCCTGCATGCCCCTCACTGGGGATCAGGCCCACAACCTGGGCATGTGTACTGACCAAAAATCGAACCAGCGACCTCTTGGTGCATGGGTCGACACTCAACCACTGAGCCACACCAGCCGAACTATTTTTATTGATTTTTTTTTTAGAGAGAGAGGAAGAGAGAGAGAGATAGATAGAAATATCCATGTGAGAGAGAAACATGGATTGGCTGCCTCCTGCACGTACCCTACTTGGGATCGAGCCTGCAACCTGGGCATGTGCCTGGGCGTGTGCCCTGACTGGGAATCGAACCAGGACCACTCAGTCCACGGAATGACGCTCAATCCACTGAGCCACACTGGCCGGGCTGGGATTGTTTTCTTAATTTCCTTTTCAGATTGGTCATTATTAGTGCATAGAAATGGGAATATTTGAAAAAAATTTATATATAAGGACCTATATGGTATCCTGTTGTATGGATAGAATAATTTATTTAACCAGTCCCCAACTGAGGAACATCTATGTCACTTGGATGTGACAAACAATGCTGCAGTGAATAGTCTTGCAGACATTTCATTTTTCACATGTACAGCGTATCTGTTGGATAAATTCCTATTAGTTAAATTTCTGGATTAAGGATTTAGGCATTTAAACATTTCATAGATATTTCCATAGCATTGTGATTTTGACATAAAATAGAACTTGTGATGGTGTTTAAAAATTATGAGAGTATCTAGTTCTCATCCAACTTTCTCTCGTAAAGATAATTTACCTCATCTTTCTTCCAAAGCAAATAAGCAAATTCACAAATTACACACGTATGATCAAGAATCAAAGAAAGGGTTCTATGTTGATTACTGTGACAATTTGATTAAAAAATGTGGGATGTGTAACATTGAATTTTTTTCTAAAATACAGCTGAATAAAACTCACTGAGAAGTATTATTGAAAATGATATATCAGTAAATCTTTGTTAGTTATCCTTTAATAATATAGAAATTATCTTTCTTTCTTAAATTTTTTTGATTTTAGAGAGAGAGAAAGGGAGAGGGAAAGAAAGACAGAAACATCATTGATTGGCTGCCTCCTGCATGCCCCCACTTGGGACCTGGCCCACAACCCTCGCACATGCCCTGACTGGTAACGGAACCTGTGACCTCTCAGTGCATGGGTCGATGCTCAACCACTAAGCCACATTGGCTGGGCAGAAATTCTCTTTCTTATAATAAACAAATATAGTGAGTTATCGTGTATTTTTTAAATTTTGTGATTACAATTTTGTTATTGTTTCTCTATATTATACATAAAACATCCATTTAAATCTGCTTAGTGTTAAGAAGTCTTGTCACCAAGAGCTATTTTAAAAGTTGTGTGCTGTCTCATAATGACGTGAATCTCCTTTCAAATTAATTGCATTTACCAGGGAGGAAAATAAAACTTCTGTACACTTGTATATTTAAGGGATGTTTAATGTAAGGAAGACAAGAAGAAAATCAGTATACCAGATACAGAAGGCTGGTTCCTATAGTTGGTAACCGTGCCCAAATATTTGAAAGATGACTTGAAATGTGTACAAGCTTCTCTTGACGAAAAAGTTGCCTAAGTCATCAGATTGCAAAAGTGTTCCATTGAAAAAAGGCTTATCACTTGCTATTCCAATAGAAAGCAGCAACCCTGTCACCTAAACACAACAGGAGTTCTTGCAAATGTCAAGAAAAGAAAAGAGAATGAACTAAAACATGTATGGCTGAATATACTTGGATAAAAAAAAAGGAAACTATTCAATTTTGGAGAACTGATTTTGAAGGACTCAATTGGAGATTACCAATGGACAATTAAATTATAGAACATGAAAGCACAGATCATCCAGCCATACCTTTGTAATGAGGAAACATGTAGATTGGTTGGTTTGTGAGCTAAACATCACATCAGATTGAGGTAATGGTGTATGTGTGTTCCAAACAGCAGTTTGGAGTTTATTCAATAATGAAACACTTGTATGCAGATCTCAAGTCGGTCTTCTGGCATCCTGAATATTATACATAAAACATCCAGAAAGCAAAGCATTTGATCATAATCTGGAATCTCAGGAAGAAATTATTTAGGATCAATGTATGGATTAGTGGTTTAGAGTGCAGTGTCTGGTCAGAATCTCAGTTCCACTACTGTGGATTTTGTGTCTTGGTTTCCTCATCTGGAAAATGAAGGTAATAAGGATGTGTATGCCTGCCTACAAGGGTATAAGGGATTACGTGAAATAATCCTGATAAAGATTAGTATAGTGCTGGGCATATAGTACACTGTCAATAATTATAACTTGTTATTGTTTTGTCAATATGTCAAGAAAAAAGGATGTGTCAAAAAGCATTCTCAGAATAAAGTCAAAATAGTCACTAGCACTTTCAGGTCAATGGGACTAAATTAGTAGGAACCTCTACGAAAAGGTGGGGAGGATCAAATGACTTAGATTGCCTTAGCAACAGGCCCCCAAAGAATGTGAATTTTCGTAGCCAATAAGAATCCGCACTACGGCGGAGGTAGCCAATGGATGACGGAAAGAGGAAGAGGGAGGACGCGCCAATTCTCCTGCCTGAGCCTCGGCCCAACAAAATGGCGGCGGCGGCGGCGTCGCTTTGTTTCCGCGGCTCCTGCAGCGGTGGCAGTGGTAGTGGCCTTTGAGCTGTGGGGAGGATCCAACACCAGCTGTAGTGACGACTGAGTCCGGTGCATTTGTGTCGTAACCGGGCGCCGGGGAGCGCGGAGCGACGCCCTACGGTCGCCGAAGCCCACAAGGCTTTGAAGCGAAAACATGACTGCTGAGCCCATGAGGTAAAACACAACCCGGTCTCACGGGTCCTAATGATCTTGGCCTACGCGCATTCTGAGTCGCGTGTTTGGGAACGCGTTGGCTTGGTGGCTCAAACCTGTCTGTTGCTTAGCCGAAAGAGGCATCGTTTTCTCTTTAGGTGAGAAGGGTTTCGGGGTTCCGCGGTGCGTTCCAGCCCCGGGTGGGGGTGGCGGTAGCTTTGCAGGGGGGGGGGGCGCGGCCTGGCATGTCGGGCGCTTGCTTTAACCTCCCCTAACCGGTGAAGCTTTAACCTCCTCTGTTTATTCTTTGCTGCCTGTGGCATTGAGACCCACGAAGTCGGAGGCAGATTTTGCTATCACCGTCATTCTTCCTAAGCTTTGGGCCTAGAAACTGCGTGGGGAAGAAGCTGGTGGGAGGGTAGGAAGGGGGGGAGGGGGGAGGGGGGAGGGGCGGGCGTGAGGATGTGAGATCCTGGGACGACTTAGTGGCATTTAGAATGCTGGAGACAGGAAGTACCCTGGCCTTGCAAAATTGCAGAATTCCCCCCCCACCCCACAGCTCTTGGGGACAAGCCCTTTTTTGGGGGTGAATGGATGGGTCTTGCTAGGTATTTACATCCCTTCTGTACTTAAGATCCTGAAGGATATCCTTGGACTTACCTCTAGGCAAGCGGATACTAACGTGAGGTTTTGCTTCCAGAGGGCCCAGTATACTACTTTTTTGTGAAGTCCAGCTTTTATGGGTGGCAAGGCAGATCCCAGATGTTTCTCCACTTTCTGAGCAAATTTCCAGCAAAAGTAATTAGACCCTATTATTTATTTATTCCATGAGGGATGGGGAGCAGGTAAACGTGGGTTGATGAGAAGTAAGATTTATTGCAAAGGAAGCTGTGCCTAGCAGGCGCCTCTTACCAATCAAGCACGTTTATTAGGGTGAGGCTTTTTTTTCCTCTTGCTTCTGATTTGCCTCTTGATAGAGTCTAAAAAATATGGGTTAGTATGAAATGTATACCACTTTTATATAGGTGACTGGCTGGCTTTTCAGGCAGTTTGACATTTGACTTTTCATCCCTTGCGAATTAAGTAATTTTTCTACTCGGAGATGTATTCTTGGCACCTAGTGGCAAAATAAAGAAAATAAAAAGGAGCATGAACCAGAATTGCATTCGTAGTTGACAAAATATGCCTTTGAGTAACTATTAGGATGGTATATCTTTCTAAGACTCTCTAGTATGTAGAATTTGGGAATGAGCCTGTGATACTTATGCCTATTAATAAGCAGTAGATAGATGATTTCCTTCCATTGAGAAAAAAATACACTTTAGTTCTTAGATTATAGATCCCTAGTTGTGTAAAGACTGTGGCTTTGGTTTCTGAATTTGTGTTTATTGGCTCAAGTATAGTAAACCTTTATGTATGGGGTATTGGGTACATAGAGGTACCCAGTACAACTTGTTGGCTGGTTATTATCAGGTGCTCATGTTCATCTACATGGAGGGTGTACTTATAGTTAAATATGACCTTTAGATTTTACTGCATCTCACAAAGTGGGCATTTAAAACTATAGGGTTTTCTGATTTTGGATTTCTCCCTTTATTTACGCTGAACAAATTAACTACGTATAGACTTTCTGAATAGATGTATTCATTTTATGCCAGGGTTAATTTTCCTTATGGGTCTTGAATTTTTGTAAATCTTGGTGGTAAGAGTAGGAATTATACTTTTACCTGTATAATCTTGATTAATTCTTGAAACAGCCCTATGGGGCAGGTACTTGGTATCTCTCATTTTACAGATGAGAAGGAAACTGAGGCACGAGTTCTTTGAGATCAAACTACTTGACCAAAGTTGTATAGCTTATAATTGGTAAAGCTGGAATTGAACCTAGTCTTGACTCCAGAGCTTATGTTCTTAACTGTAAGTCATTAATGATTATGATAATTTAATTTGGCCCAAGTAGTGTAATGAAAGAAGTTATGTAGCTACTGTTGTGGCCATTTGTTGTAGCTTTGAGTTTGTAGCTGTTTATAATATTTTGCCTCTATGTCCAGATGAGATAGTGAGATAACCAGAACATTTAATTCCAGGAGAGTCTTTAAGCTATGTGAAAAACCCGTGTAAAGAACCACATATATGCCTAGCTCAGTGGTTAGAGCACCAGCCCGCGGACCAGAGAGGCCCGGGTTCGGAACATACCTCGGTTGCAGTTTGTCCCTGGCCCCATTTGGGGTTGTGTGAGTGGCAAACACTTGATGTGTCTCTCACATCGATGTTTCTCTCTCTCTCTTCCTCCCTCTTTCCCTTCTGCTCTATCTGAAGATAAATGCAAAAAAAAAGAACCACATATATAAATGTCGATAATTTAAAAACTGTGGTGCTCCCTGATTATTTACAATGAAAGAGCTTCAAGTGAGTGTTCAGAAGAACTGTCTCAGGCTAAAGTGTCATTTATCTCAAGCTAAAAAGTTAAAGGATGATCTGACAGATAATGCTTGAGTGAATTGAACCCATAATACCAAATCACTCTTGATTCTCTTCTAATGTGGGACATAATATGAGCAATTAATGCATCACCGTTAATTTTGTTAAACAATAGTTCCAGATTTTTCTTTTTCAGATTTTCTGTTTTTTGTTTTTGGTACGTGCCCCTAGCGGGAACTGAACCTGGGTCTCTCAGGTTCGCAGACCAGTGTTCCAACCGCTGAGCCACACCAGCCAGGGCTTTTTCAGATCTTCTGTTGAGTACTTGATTAGTTCTGATTTTTACTTGTGTCTATATAAAAGAAATTTCTAGGATGCTGTAGTGAAAAAAATAGCCAAAAGGCAAGAGGGAGGAAAATAAACTGATGACTTGGCTAAATCATACATTAAAAAAATCAGTGGCTCAGTATTTAAGGATTTTGTTATTTTTAAAGGGTTTTGTTATTTGTTTTGTTTTAAATATGATTGACTTGTTTCTTCACATTTTTGGAATTATGAAAGATTAACTTCTGATTGACATAAACTATTTTCATGTAAAGATCTTGGAGATCTGATGGTATTTGTCATGCTAATCCTTATGGCAACCATATTACTTGAAAAACTGAATGCCCTGGCTGGGGGCTTAGTTGCTTGGAGCGTTTTCCTGTACATCAAATGGTATATACCTAGGTTTCGGGTTTGATCCCCTGTTGGGGCGCATGTGGGAGGCAACCAGTGGATGTTTCCCTCTTACATCAATGTTTATCTCTTTCCCTCTCTCCCTCCCTCTCCCTCCCTCTTCAGAATCAATAAAAACATATCCCCGGGTGAGGGGGGAAAAAAGCTTACAGCAGTATAACTCGTTATTGGTTTTAAGTTTTAAAAGGCAGAAGTTGGCTAAATTGAGATATGTTGGGAAAATGTCTTAGGAAGTTACTGTTAGGGTAGTAGTTCATAATCACTTGTATACTAATCTAATTTTTGAAAAATGTTATGTGTTAAATATTTGCATTCCCACTATGTGGAAAGCATTAAGCCAGGCCTGTGGAGGGGGAGTAGATGCAAATTATATAAAGGGTTTTGAAATCATTTAAATACCAGTTGTTTGATTATGTTATTACAGGTGGGGTGAGAAGAAAGACATTTCTGACTTTAATTTTGATCAGGCCAGTTCTCATTATTGGCATTCCTTGGTGTAGTTAGTTGGTCATGAGATTTTAGTTATATATTGTATTTCTTGAGATACAAAAATATATAGTACTTAAAGGAATTTCTATATAGATATGGGTGTGTGAAAAATTTTTTTCGTAAGAAAGTTGTGTATTTATGTGCCTGTTTCACTTTTGGAGTCTGAGTAAATTTGTGGGTACAGACAGGTAGTTCTTGGATTTACATGAAGTCCTTTCCCCCAGACCTTGAATGTTTTCTTGGACACTGGCAGAAGCTGTTCGAATGGTTTAAACTATTGGAAAGTGATGTATAAGATCTTCTTTTAGGTGTGTTGAGTATAACAGGGCAGTAAAAGGAGTGTCTAAGTGGGATGTCTCTGTACTTTTATCCTAATGCTTGCCCTATGATTGTTTTGATGGCTGACATGCAAGATGTTTAATCTCTGTTGGAAAATGGG